TGAGAAAAGGGTTCATCTTTAGGATTATCTTAAGTCCATGCATAAAGTCTTAGCCTGTGGAGGACTTAATGGACTTAGGGTTGTAGATCTTGCCTTGGAATGATGTCCTAATGGATAAAGTTGGAAAATTTATCCATTAAGTCAATGAAAAGAAAACAATATAAAGTTATGTGCTTTGGTATGAAAGGATTAAGATCTTAATAAAGGAATGACATCCTGACTGAAACCACGGTGTTTCCAAGGGCTTGCCATGGCATGGTGGTGCACAACAATGTGACTATTCTATCTCGACTTAGCCATGGCATGGCAAAGGACTTGCCACGGTTAAGTGGTCGTTGACTTGGTGACCGTTGATTGTTGAATTTTGACTAGATTGAACTTGGGTCTAACATAAAGGTTTTGGGTTGTTGATTAAAGTTTGACCCTTTTTGGGTGATAGTCGGTTCCTAAGCCTATAGAGTTGAGAGTGTAGCAACGTGTCTTAGCTTTTGGGGTTCAGGTGAGTTTCCTCACTATAATATGTGTTACGATGTATATCCTCACTCGGTATGATATAAGGCAGTAGTGATGTGTTGGTTAGAGTATCAGTAGGTTGGTGGTCGTCCACTTGAGTGCCCTAAGAGTTTTTTGTAGTCATATAGGACAGCCTGAGAACTCTTGATCTAGGCTTTCTTACCTATTTCTTGTTTGGTTAGTGCTTTAGAGTAGGATCACTTATTTGACTATCTATCCTACTTCTGATTATATACAACAATGCACTTATTTTGTGATTTTCCAGTTATGGTGTACTGTGCTATATGAGACTATAAGTACATTAGTGGGTTGTTAGACATGTAGACTAGTGTAGACAATTGCCTCTATTTTTGGATTGTTTGATTGTTATATGTCAACATATCTTGTGGTGGGTTAGGGAGATCCTACTTTGTAGTAGCCCAAGATACCTGGGCGGGCCAAAGGTATGCTAAAGACCAGGTGCAGACCAGCTTATGTTGAAGATGAGTGGTGCATACCAGTCTTGGAATGAAAGCCATTGTATGTATGCTTGTATGTATATTGGGGTGTGTGGTATTTTAGGGGAACTCACTAAGCTTTAGCTTACAACTGTTGATTAAATGTTTTCACCTCTGATGATCGTGGGAAGGCGAAGGCGTGACTATACACATTCATGAACAACATTAGTGTTCTACAATTATTATGTAACTCGGATTTTTGTATAATTATATTTTGAACAAGTGATATTTCTTGAATTAGGTTTTTTAAGAAAATGGTGTTTTATCTCAACTGAAAATAAAAAAAAAATTGTTGTGAAAAATGGGATGTAGCACTTAGCTTAGGGTTTTAGATATTGGATGTTTGTGTCATTATTATGGATAAAGTTAGAAACTTTTTCCATCTAAACATCATGTTGATTTAGATTTGAAAATGGAGGTTTGTACTTAAAGGATTAAGCCGAGAAAGATGCATTCTTGAACTCTTTGAGACTTAAAGTTTAGATCTTGGTTGTTTAGACCATCCTAATGGATAATGTTAGAAACTTTATTCATTATGAAGCTATTAAGTACGGGATTTGAAAAGTTGGAATCTTGGACTTAAGAGTTAATAACTTAATGGAATAAGTTTTTCAGGATGCCCACCACGATGCGGTAGACTGCATGTCTGGTGTTTGTTTTGTTCTTTTTTGGCCATGGTGTGGTCATAGGGTTGGCTACGATGCGGTGGGTTAACCCCTGACTTTGATCATTGATCAATCACTTTTTGACTAGTTTGACTTTTTTTCAAACTTTAGTAGAATTGAATATTTGACTAAGGAATGGTCTTGGATCGTCCTTAGGTAACTTGGGTTAGCTGTTATGTTGTTGAGGTTGTTGTTGATCTTATGTTGAGTAGTTCAGGTAAGTCTTCTCACTAAACTGGGTAGGACACAAGGTGTCATTGTATGTTTGTATGTCTTTGTGACCTGCATGAAAGACCATTGTGGGATCATGGCAACGTAGACTACAATTGGGTTGTAGCAACGAAAGTGAAAGTAAGACTATGTTTGGACCATAGCATTCACATGAGTTGAAAAATATATGTTAGCTAAAATAGGCCGAAAGTGATTGTAAGACTATGGGTGGACCATATCATTCACATGGGTTAAAATATACCCCTAAGGTGGGGCTTATTGTTATGTATGGTATGGGGTATATTTGGGAACTATTTAGTGCCCGTTTTACGATTACTACATGATTTTAAAAGCCAATTTTTACCCTAAATTTTAAAAAATTTACACTATTTTTGACCTTAAAAGACAATTTTTTGTTAAATTCCATGATGGATTTCAAATCTCCTTGTTGGTTTTTTATTCTCATTCAGTTGGGATTGACTTGCTTTGATGGGTCCCTCATCGCCTATTCAATATGTTGGTGGGAGTTCGATTTTTTTTTCTGAAATCCAAACTTCTTAAATAAATTGATGATACTTTAACTTTTCTTTACAAGTTCGCCTAAGTTTCGTAGGTCCACATCGCCTATTCAACGGGTTTTGATAGGAATCGGTTTTCATCTACCAAAATCCAAATATAACTTTTTACAAGATTCTTGTTAAGAATTGACGATTTACATCACCACTTGTCATAACAAGTGCAACTTAAATTCCTCAGGTTCCCTTCTGCTTATTCGACGGGTTGGTTGGAGTTGGTTTTCCTTTTATGAAAATCAAAATATAAAATGTTATTCTTGCAATTGAATTGATGTTTTTTTTTTCACTTGTTATTTCAAGTGTTATCTATCCTTCATGGGTTCCCTACCGCTTATTACACAGGTTTTGGTAGGAGTTGGTCTTCTTTTCATGAAGTCCAAATTCTTTTATAATGAATTGGTGGAACTTATTTTATTTGTTAAAGCAAGTGTGACCTGCTGTGGTGGGTGATGAGAGTTGAATTTCTTTTTATATAGTCCAAAGTTTTTAAGGAATTGACGGTGTGATGATCGTTCATTTTTATGAAGCCAAAATACGTATTCAAAATTAAAGGAATTGATGGATATTGTTCACAAGCACGTTTTATCATTAATGTTTTTCATGTTGGAGATGTTCGGGTTTGATTGTAGATGAAAATTAAAGATATAATATCTTGCAATTAATTTCATCAAAACATATAAGGCTAGTCCATCAAGATGCAATATCAAAAAGCCCAATAAAGAATCAAATTTAAGTCCATTAGTTTAGTCTAGTTCACATTGATTAAGGTCTTCATATCTTTGAAACACAAACATTGAGACAACAAGAAATAGATGAAGTTTAATTGATTGTTCAACAAGTGAAATATCTTTTCATTCACACAAATCAAATACAAAGAAAAAATGGTAGCTTGTTAAATTGGATATACATGGTTTTCAAGACGAAAAAGTCACTTGTTGACTTGAACTTTTGAAGATTTCCTTCAAATATTTTTCTAGAACTAAAAGGATGGACCTCTTTAACCCATCTAAAAAAACGCCACCCTTCTCCACCTTATACCTCCGTCCACCACCAACCCTCCTCTATTCCAGCCTTCTCTTTCACCACCCCTTAGCATCTTCATCACCCAAAAACCATCCATTACACTCAACCCTTATACATTGAATCCAAACCTTTCATCCACCCTTCACTCCAAATCAGCCGAGACCCAACACCCTTACCATTCCACCACCCTTAACCACCTTATCCATCACCTAACACCCACCACAAACCACCGTTAACCACCATGAACACCATTAACCTCTCCTCCACCACCCTTATTCATCCATCATATCAAACCATACTTTTACCACCACCAGAGACAACCATTAGCCATCCAACAACACCACCTTATACACACTTTCAAGCCACCGCCATCGAACCCACATCACAACCAACCAACATCTCAACCTCCTCCGTCAACCATTACAGCCAACCTTCTCCCTCACTCCCTTCACAATCTCCCACCTTAACCACCGAGAACCTACACCATCCATCAGCCATCACCGAACCAAAATCACCACAACAATCACCAATTCTTCCAAAGAAAAATAAATAAATAAAAAAGAAGGGGCTGAGATCAATTCAGAAAGGAGAGAAAGGAGAACACGTGATTGATTTTAAAGAAGGAAAGAACGAGACATATAGACGCCTGCGATCGATCAGCAAGATTTTGGGGCTATCAATTTTGTCTATCGATTGTTGGATTTCTCCCGTTACTGGGATATAGACCTGCACATTAGCGGTCCTGGACCAGTCTCGGGTCGGTCTCAAAACGGTCTGGTTTTTTTAGGACCAGTCTCGGTCTTTTTCGGTCCGGTCTCGTGGTCTCTACCTGCGTCTTTTTAGGTTCGGATTTGGTTTTCCGGTTCGGTTTGTTTTCTTTTTTTTTCAATTCGATTTTGATTTTTCGATTTTGTTGATCCCATTTGGTTTTTTCCAATTAATATTTGATCATGAGGGATGATACCGTCGAAATAGATTTAAAATGGTAACATAGTTTCCATTCTCCAATAGTACATGCATAATTACAGTCAATTTATGGAGCCAATTTTTATCATTTTTTTTATGTATTGCTGATTTACAGTAAAAAATTTGGAGTACGCGGCCTTCTTTGGTAATTGTGCTTCACAATCATAGATACATATCACATGCTTATATAAAAGGTAAATACAATATACTAACTTTATTAAACAACTTGTAAGAACATAACTTCATAAAATCAAAATGCCATAGGTTCGTAACATTAAAAAGTGACGGACGCAGAACATTTTCGTAGAGGTGGTATTAAAAAAAATTACATATAAATCTATATTAATAGTGTCACTCATGTTTTAAGTCACCCAATAGGAAAAAAAAAAAACATTAATTTTTTTTTTACACTACGTGCTGCCGTCGGAGCAGTGGCCCGGGACCCCTGGGGCACCACTAAGGTCCGCCGCAGACATTAAACAACTTGAATGATTTAGACATAGGTTCATAACATTAAACAACTTGAAAAACTTAGAAATAGATTCATAACATCAAAACACCATACCGGGAGGAAAATTCCAAAAGTTGTAGGTGTCTTCGTAATATTGGTATTCTTGAGCGGAGTTTGAGAATCCTTCATCGGGGTTGAGGTTGGACGATGTACTTGTGAAAGTTGCATGGTCTTCTTGAGTATCGGCAATAAACTCTTCTTCAACATCGGTGTTAGTGTAAGAACTCACTCTCGCCGACCTTCTATCCATTTCGTCTTGCAAAATCTCTTTTTCCAAATTTGTTAGCCCTTCGTCAAGATCCGCACTATTTTGTTGTCTCGCCATTGAATCATATTAGTCCTTAAGCATCACTGACATTTGCACTGATTCGTCAAACAAACTACTCCTTCGACTACTTAATATCCTGCCACTAAGAGAAAAACAACATTCCGAAGCCACACTGCTAGCTTGGACCGTTAGTACATCCCTAGCCATCGAGGCTAGCACTTCATATTGACCCGAATGTTCTCTTTCATACCACCATTTTAATATATCCAATTGTGTAAATTCTTCGGCTGATATTTTAGAAGCATAATCGCTTCCTTATAGATTGAAAGTTCGACTAAAGATGTTTGGATTCTAGGACGCTTTGATTGACTTTCTCTAAACCATGATTGTCCGATGGCCAAAAGATTAGGCACTCTTGAAGAACTAGTTGGATGAATTGGTGGCCTCGAAGAACTTTGTGAGTCATGACTCGAATTTCTAGTTGAGTATTCATTATCATATATTATATATAAATCTTTAATAGTATCTTCAAAGTTTGCTATGCTGATATCATGATCTTGTAGGCCCAAAAGATTACCGATACTTTTAATACTTTCAACGACCCTTTTAAAATTCACGTATGGATTTAATGCCGAAGCGATCTTAAAAATTGATGTAAACTCTTCAAAATATTTTATAAGTACATCCATCATACTCGAAATAATTGTCTCCCATTGTGAATCTAAACTTTCAAAACTTGTCAATGTTTTTAAGATTTAAAAAATACTAATCAAAGCAACGTTAGATGTAGGATAATATGTTTGTGATAACATAAACCTTGCTTGATATAATACTCCTAAAGCCGTATGTAACTCCTCAAGAAGTGTCCAGTCGAGCGGGTTAATGTCGTCTTCGGGAGCATGAGGAATATGTTCTCTATGATACCTACTTAATAATTCTTGTTGTTTTAACAAAGGTTCAATCATAAGGAAAAGCAAGTTCCACCTAGTCTAGGTGTCATGAGCCATTTTTTAAATTCTTTTTCCTTTCCTTTTGCAAAATGTTTTCCATTTTTAGTGCTCAATAGGTCCACTTCTAAAAATTTAGTCATTTAAATTTCTAAATTTCAAAAGACTGAGTTTTCGAGATACCCTTTTGAACCATCAAGTTGAAAATATGACAACAACATCGTACGTGGTAGAATTTTCCATCACAAATTGGATTCAAAACTCGTTTGACTCAATTCAATGTGTTAGTAATATTACTAGCATTGTCAAGTGTTATAAAAAGAATTTTATCTTTTACACCAAAACCATTCAGTATTCTAATTAAAATCTCATATATTTGTTCACCACCATGCGAATGAGGAAATTGCTCAAAAGCAAGAATGCATTTTTGCATTAACCATGTATTTGGATCGGTCCAATGTATCATAACACAAATATATGATACATTGGAACCATGTGAAACGGTCCAAACATGGTGGTTAATGAGACTCTACCCAGAAATCTAGCAAATAACTCCTTTAAATCCTTTAAATCCATTTGTAAATTTAATACTTCACAATAACCCGGTTGTAAAGCTCTCTTGATAAATGCTATAACTCTTGATCGACTAAAGAAATCAAATGGAAGGCATTCTTGTATGGTTAGTTGCATACACAAATCACGAGCTACTTGGTTATCATAACGCCATATTTGACGATCTTCACCAAGTTGTGTTTGGCTAGGTAATACATTTTGATTTTTCCTTTCACATGATATCTGACAATTTCAAAGTAAATTAAATTAATGAAACTAATTAACCAAACTTAAGTTATTAATGCAATGTAACTTATAATCAGTCAATTTAATAGTTTGTTTTTATTTATAACTAGTCATTTACGACGCTATAGTTTGTAACTTAAGTTATTTATGTGTTGCGAATAACAAATTATAAGTAAACAGCATATAAGATTAAAGAAAACTAATTAACTAAACTATACAACAAAAAAACTAAAATATAATTTAGACGATCATAGTCGTATGCAAATAACACTACGTTAAACTAGCATAGGTGTTATGAAAACTTACATCATGTCGCCTAAAAGTGCTATTGGATCCCGCAATAACGAAGCTTCATCGATGGCATTTCCCGAAAAATTTGTTTAGTAGACAAAATTGGGTATAATTTTGCGAAACATCTGAGGTCCGATTTCCTTTGCTAACTTCCTCATACGGTAATGCCGGATCAAAACTAATCACTTGTTTTGAGTGTGGACGAGAAGTAGCTTCATCTCCGGACATTTTTCAAATGAATTGTTTTAGAGCGTTTGATGAAATTTTAGATAGAAATCTATGAAGAATAAGAGATTGGGGTGAAAAAATATGCTGTATGATTGTGGTATTTACCGGTGAAGGAATGAGTTAAAAGTGAAAAAAAGAAAAAGTTACTACTTTTTAACCGTTGGTAAGAATAGGACAATAAAAAAAATGCCGTTGAAAACTTTGAATCAACTTTGGAAAAGAGACGTTGGCTTCTGAATGGGCAATGTAATAATAAAAGGGATAGGTCTAGGACCGGTTTGAGACCGGTTCAGATCGCTGTTGCAATCCAGATTGCATTTTTTTTAAATCTGAGACCGGCTCGGGACCAAGACCAGTCCGCCCCGGATCGATCCGGGACTTTTTAAGGACCGAGAAAAACACAGAAAAATTTGGACCGAACCCGAACCGCCGGTCTGGAGTGTTTTGGGACTCTTTGGTCTGGGATCGGTTCAGTCCCTGTGTTACTTTTGGGATCACTTTTGGGATCGGTCTAGGACTAATCTTTTTGTGCAGGCCTACTGGGATACATATCCAAACACAGGTGAGGCAGTTGGACTTATGGAGTTACCTTTGGGCTTATGGAGCTAACATTTATTTTTTTGTTAAGCTACACTTCAAAGAAAAAGACAAGAAATGTATTTCTAGGTCTGACAATCAGGTTGCGTGTTGGTTGGTCGGAAAACATAAACTCAACTCAACCCATATGATATATGGGTTGGCGGTTCATGGTTTAGCGGTTGGAAATCTCATCCTAACCCAACCTATATAACCCATTTAAGTATATTGGTTCGCGGGTTCGCAGGTTAGTGGGTCAAATCCAACCCACGTAACTCGTTAAATAAAGAAGCAACACGTTTTCAAAAAATAAGGTTTTCGTTACATAAAATCATAAAATGATTAAAGTCATTAACATCAACACAAATTCATAAAGTCATTAACATCCAAATAAAACTGGAAAAAAAAAAAAAAAAAAAAAAAAAAAAAAAACATTCATATAAAGTGTAATTTTCAAAAATATCCAAACCAATTTAATTATTCGTTCATGGTAGAATTCTCATTTCTTCTTCTAACACCGACTTCTTCGTGATAACCTTCAAATAGAAACAATATGCAAAACTGAATTTATGATATTTTGAAAGCCACATAAATAATTTTATGCCTTCTATTATTTGTACTAAAAAGAACTCAACAAATGATAGCTTAAAGTATGTTGAAATTTGTAACCACCGTATTGTATTCGTTGATGTTTAAATTCATTACATTTTAAGTTAGGTTGTCAACAACCACATTCAAATCAACGACATAAGGAATAGAAAAAAAAATATTAATACAATGGTACATTCTTCGTTCATGACTCGTGAGTATATGTGTTTTCTTTTTTATTGGGACACCGCAAAAAACTAACCACGCGATTATACGAAAACAGAAAACGAAGGAATACAATAATACAAAATATTATGGAAGAAAATTAGACTTCATGTGTGTGTGTGTCTATATATATATATATATATATATATATATATATATATATATATATATATATATATATATATATATATATATATATATATATATATATGGGTTGGCGGGTTGACCCACGAACTCAAACAAGCAACCCAACCCAATCCATGAAATTAAAGATTGGCAGGTTGGCGAGTCAAAAATCTCAACCTAGATGCGTTTAATTTCTGGATGGGTCAATATCAGGTTACAGGTTGGATCGAGAGTTATCACTCTTAGGTATTTTGTTCTGTTTACATTTTGTTAATTGAAATTCGATATTAAAAAATGTTTATCTGCTTAACTTTTATTTCTTGATGGCAATTAGTTTTAATTTTATGGAGTAGTTTATTTGTATGTTTAGTTGAGTTGGTTTTTGTGATAATCTCAGTGCTTTTAAATTAATTAACAAAATGTGTGGTAATTATTTGATGTTTAAATGTATGTTTTATTTCAAATTATTTTATGAAATTACGTTAATTGGCAATGCTTATTATCTACCCTATAATAGATGTTAGATGTTAATTTGAATTTCATTTATAATTAATTGCAACTGCTGACTTCGAGCGAAACTTTAGTTAGGATATAATTTGAAAATTAGTGTCTGATTTCGTGATCCCATTTAAAATCAACATAGATGTGTGTTGGTGTACTTTTAACAAAACCACTAAACTTAATATTTTTTAATTTAATGAGCTTCATAGAGATATGAGTGAGTAAAATTAAACTGAATCATGAGACTGAGAAGTAATTTATAATTTTAGTTGGTGTTAGCAAATTTATTACAACTACATTTGTGTTAGTTAGTTAATGCATTAGACGAATCATGGACCCATAAACGTAAAGTAAACCCTGGTTTTATATTGTTTGTGAAATCCTAAATTGTGTGTTTTCTTCTTCAGTCACTTTGGTTTTAGTATTACATTCTGATCTCATTTGAATTTGTTTTAGAAATATTAGTTGCTTGTTAACTTTATTTTATTATAGTTTTTGTAATCAGTATCCCTAGTTTAATCAAACCAAATAACTTTTAACCAACAATTACCTGATTTATCTTCCTTTAACATAGATAGTCTTTGTGGGTACGATATCCGGTTTTATGACTATATTACTTGCACGACCTCGTATACTTGTGAATACATGTTTTTTGTCAACAGCAACTCACTAAGCGTAATGATTACAATTTTAAGTTTAATGTTGCATGTCTTTTTGATAATTCGGGAAGAGCATGGTGTGATTGCATCGCATCTGTTTTTATGTTTTTTCAATATG